CATTCTATATACACTACAACCTCACAAACATTCTCCAAGATATAGATATGGAAGGTGTTAGTTTCACAGCAGAATGAGAAGTCTTGCTTGGCCTGCTTCTGCAAATGGCAAAGAGTCACACTAATGATGTTTTCTTCCAATTTATGCTTTCAAGCAAACTTCCGTAAAACATGCTCCAGTTTGGTCAACATGAGTAACCCTGGACAAAAAACAATAGCACCTCTGCCTTCAGAGCTATGGGATAGGCCTGGACACCTTTCAGAAGGAGGTTTACACAGATTTGTTAGTAGGCGTTGTGAAAGAGGAGTGATTTTTCCTCTGAGTAGAATTCTGTTAGACTGAATGAGAGGAGATTGGCTTTCACTAAGCTAATCTGGTTCACGCACCATTGTGCTCATCCCTTCACATGGAAGCTGGTTTATGACACAGCAAATAAATAGTAGGGCGAGTCTGCTACTAATGACACTGTACCCTTTAAAGAAAAAAGCTGCTGAGGTTATTCATGGCAATATTAAAGCATTATCTGTCGAGACATAAAGGTGAATCAACTAAATGTAGAGCATTTAGTAAAAAGGTATTTCTCCCTATAACATCTCCTCTTGACAGAGCCTGTTGGAAATCTTCCAACTAAACATATCTGTTTTGCAAATATTTTGTGAAAACACCACTCATTCACCAAATTTCCTGCGACCTCCCAGTGGCTGTGGCACTCAAGCTATAGGTCCTCAGCACCAGGGCAGCTTCACCTCTCCTTCACCCAGTGTCCTCCTGCTTTGTTCCCATGTTTCCTTGCTCACCCTCAGTGTCTCCATTGAAGGGATGTGCCATGGCCAGTCAAAAAATTCAAGCAGCCTTGCTTATGTTACAGAAATGTTGCTCTGGAGCCAGGGAGGTGAGCTCTGGGCATCTATGAAAAAGCACTGGAGCACTGCATCCCTGGCCACTTTGCTGGGAAATGACATGAGGGCTGCCAATGGCCACCTGCCACAACCCTGCCGGTCAGGGAAGGTGCTGATAGGCAGGGTGCCAAGCTCTGGTGGAACTCGCTTGAGATACCTGGGAGTGTGTTTTGGGATGGAGGGATCAGGTGGTTAATCAAGTGGAAACACGATGATGATATACTGAGGGAACGGCAGGGAGAGGCAGACACAGCTCCAGAGGATATGAAAATACAGGCATTTAGCACATTGCAGAGGGAGGAGGGCTGGCGAGTCTGGGATCCTGGGAGGCCGTGTATCTGTCTTGGATGAGAGCTGCCTTGCAGATGCTTCTGGCTCTGCTAACCCGTGGCCTGCTGAGCTGATTCAAAGTGGAAATATTAGGAATTGGGACAGGATGCAGTCATAGCAAGAACAAAGCTCCCTTAATTCCCCACGCTTAAACACCGCCCTTGACTTCACTACTGCGTTTCCCTTGTTCATGGGAACTCTGATAAACTCAGGCTGTTTTTAGTAGAGCAAGATTATGATAGCAAAGACCTTGAAATGTCTCCTCAACAAAGCACAGTGCACCTGGAGGAAGACAAAAGGCTGGCCTGTAACAAAATAATCTCTCCATCGTTAAGTTTCTTGCTAATTCAAAAAGCTGATCTTGACACGATCTCTGTTATTTTGCTATCGGTGCTGGTTCTGCTGCTTTGGTTAAAGATCTGTCAGCAGTTTTATTACAGACTCTCATTTCCAGGGATTTTAGTCTTGCTCATAAAAACACGGTCCCAGCTGAAACTTAACATATAAGGTTACAAAACTTAAAAAAAGAGTGAGAGAGAAAGCTCAAATATTTTAGGGCTATAAAAGCATAAACAGAAACAGAAGCATACAGCTCAAAGTGATTACAGTGATTGTTTTCCCCAGACAGGAAAAATAGCTTTATTCTATCTATTTTTCCAACTCGCAGGTAATTAATAAATCACTGGTTGGAAGCATTCATTGGGATAATGTGAAAATGAAAATGGTTGAAGTAATTTAATTGCAGACATTTCAGGATGATATTCCTAACCTCCTAATTTGCTTAGGCTATTTATTAGCTCTGTGTTACTGCTTCGGAAGAAAACCTTCCGAGGTTGATGACTTACAGATATAAAACATTTCTATTGGCCCTTAAAAAAAATCATATTACAAAGGAACCATATGGATTCATATTTTTAAAATTCCTGCATTATGGATCTACCTACTCCAGTTAACATTAACCACTGTAAAATCACTAATTATATATTTACTGTCTGATTTTTCAGAACAGGTATTAGAAGAAACTCAGCCATAATACATATAAAGATTTACATTTATTACATGTGTAAATTCCAATGCTCTGCAAGGGTTTTGCCTAAACTTTCATAAAGTGTTTAAATAACACTTGGACGTTGTGTTCAGAGATATGGTTTAGTGAGAACTATTGGTGATAGGTGGATGATTGGACTGGATGATCTTGTAGGTCTTTTCCAATCTTGGTGTTTCTGTGATTCTGTGATTCTGTGATTCTGTGATTCTGTGAAATAGCAACCCAACCCAGCTCACATAGCTCTATTTTCTCTTCCTCTGTGCAAAGAAAGGGGTGAGTTAAGGATGAAGTGTCAGCTGCTGTCTGAGCTCTAACTGCATTTCCTTACGCCGTGAGCTGGGTCAAAGCCTTTGACACGATACGCTCAGTACTTGCACAAAGTAATCTTTCAACTTAAAACATGTGTGATGTGGTGAAAGCCTTCTCTCCCCTTTTGTTCCCTTTTTGTCTGTGAATTGGTTATGGTTAGAAGTTTTAAATGAACAGGTGTACTCACTCGCTCCTTGTGATATGAAAGAAGCATAAAACTCGATTATAGCAATTTATGGTCTCTTAACTTGCTTGGACTTGTATCCATGACACAAGCAACTTTATGCTCAAATTCAAGACTGGGATAAATAGGAAGTTAAAATTAACCTCAATCCTTTTATAGACGAAAACCTCAACAAATAAACAGTGGTTTAGTGGCATGGCAACCTGCCCCTTTAAATCCAAAAACTATTCTGAGATGTCTATTTTGAGTTAGTTTTGTTTTTTCAAAAAGATAATTGGGCCTGGATGAAGAGAGGAGTAGCCTATGATTCATAAAGGTGTAACTTAAAGCACGATGTGATGCTGCTACATTGCTACTAGCAGTGCATGGGCTTTTTTATCTTCTGCCCACATAAAAAGCACCCCGTGCTCTCAGGGGTCAGAAGCATGTCATTTTGGGGATCTCTTTCTGAAACATAAAAAAATACAAATGGAAACACCCCAGCTCTCTAGATTTCCCCCAGCAGACCAACCTGACAGCCAGCCCTGCTTTGAGCACTGACAAATATACCAGTGGTGGTGCACCTTATCACCACCCAGCCCTTTTGTCCTTCCATGACAGAGGGACAAAGATGAGCCCCACCAGCCAAAAGGTGCCTACAGCAGGATTTCAGCATCACAGAGGATTTGAGTTTATCTCACCAGCAAATACTGAAGCTTCAACAAGTTGCTCAAGGAGGTCCTAGCATAACTTGCAATTGTGGTCACAGAGATTAGGGGGAACTCAGAGGAAGCTTTGGAGGAGGGCAGCAATGAGGAAATGCCTGCTCAACTGCTGCTGCCTTCAGAGCTACATCTGCAGGTGAAACGTATTAAAACTACGTTCATGGAGAGCAAAGTAGAGCAACATACTAAATGTATTTCTGGAGAGAGCAGCTGAGTCCCCAGAAAGGCGAGAAGCCGTCCCAACGAGGGACCTCCATGCAGAACAAGGGAAGGGGGATAAGTGTGGCTGAACCTGATACTCTGCTAAGCATATAGGGTTCCCAAGAAGCCAAGGAATGCGCATCTGTGACTGATACCTCCACACACAGGGCTGCAGGCTGCTGAGCAGCCACAGCAGCACAGGCATTAGCTCTTGCAGGAGCTGAGCTGTGTGCAGAAGCCCACAGCATGGCCTGCTTTACAGCTCAGAATGGCAAAAGAGGTGAGAGTTGTGGGTTGGCAAATTGCAGGATTAGATCCAGGGAGAGAAGGTGCTTTGTGGCCCTTCTGTGTTTTTTTTTTTCCCTGCCTTTTACAACACAACATATACTTCTCAAAAATAACCGCTTCTGCTCCTTGTAAAGACAACAGCAGGTTTGCAATAGATGTCAGTAGGCCTAAGACCTCCCTAGAGGCAGCAAGCATTATATTCTATAAGCAATAACCTTTTCTGTATGCACAAAAGTAAACCTTGACTTTAAAAATAAATACCAAAAAAAGAACCCGTTGAAGAAATTTCTCTCCCCAGAGCATCAGCAGAGAACCTCAGCTATGACCATTTCATTCTGGGCAGAAGAGCAGAGGAAAACTACACTGAGAACAACTCCCACTGTAACATGTACCATTCTGCATCCTTCCTTTGCGGGCATCGCACTATGAATCTGCACCTTGATACGCATTTTGCAAATTATGTTATCAGTTGAGTGTAGTGTCTGATTCTTTGCTTACTAGTTGCAACAGATTTTGGTGGCAGATTTGATCTTAGCAGTGACAGACTCAGATCCAGCAGAGGCAGATGAGGTTTCCTGCTGGATTGCTTGGTTTCACTGACATATGCGTGAACCTCCATCTCAGAGGAAATTGGACTCCAGAGTCATTATTTTATAAGTTTTCTATCAAATACAACCCAATGGATAACCACCAGCCCCAAAAATAAGTTCAAACCAGCCCTCTCACATTCAGATCTTGGCTCTAAGGTCCTTTGCATAAAACTCTCTTTGCAACTGCCTCCCATGAAAGGCCAAATCAAGGCCTTGACAGCACTTTTGTCTCATTCAAGCACACAGTTAATTGATAGCTACCCATCAAGTAATACACCTATATTAAAAAAGCCTGCCACAATGCACCTTTGCAAGAGAACAAAGACTTGCAAGGCTTCCACACATCTCAGGACAGCCAAAAAAGACAGATGGGAGCATCTGAGCCCAGGAGCTCTCAGCAGGGCTGGGTGGGTGCTGGGCGAGCAGGGGAAGATTTTGGGTACTTACCCTGAATCTGACTCTGAGGCTGAGGGTTAAAAGCAGTGGTGTGGTTCAAGGAGGCTCGTGGGTTGGGTGTGGGGGCTGGGTGGTGTGGGCTGACCCTCATGGCCGTACGACGCAACTGCTCCAGTTCACTCAGACGCTCTGAAAAGGACAAGCTCCCGGGCTTTGTCTGCTCATCTAGTTTCTGACGATGTCCTATTGTGGGAGGGGGGGGAAAAAGATCAGAAAATCTCACTGATACATGAGGTCTGTTGACTTTTCTTTTAATTTTACTTTTTAAACCCCTCATCCACTGGCGAAGTATCTAACCAGCTAGTGGCTCTCTGAAGTTATACACCTCTCTGCAAGGACAGGAGAAACAAACAATGCATTGAAACCATATCATGGGGCAGCCCAGGACATGGTGTACTCTGAAGATCCAGGCCCACTGAAAACAGCAGTGCCTCCTTACTACAGCTCACTTTGGGAGAGGAGGCTTTTATAGAAGAAGTAACGTCTGACAGGGTGAATAACAGGAAGAAACTTGTGGTGGTCCCTGTACTAGCCCTGCATCAGAGCAAGTCATCTGAAATTCAGCCCCACTCTGTCATAAAGTACTGTGCTCAGTACTGTGGAGCTGTAAAAAACAAACCCAAATAAATCTCATTTTTGGACTCTTTAGCAATTGCTTTCCAGACAGAAATAGGCAAGAAACACCAGAAGCTGGCAGAAGTGCAGCTACAAGGTCATGAAGTCTCTCTTAGTAGCACCAGGGGTTTCCAAGACATGAAGTCCAACCAGACATCCAATTATAAGAAAGCAGACCCTAACATGGCAGCATAGAATGAAGCACAGTGGCATCGGCCTCGGCCAGGTGGGAGCAACAGGGCCTAGGGCCTGGCCTGGGGCAGGCCTTGGAATGCTGTCCCCATGGCACTCTGGTGCTGTGGCCTCATAGAGCTGCCAGGGGACAGGAAAGGAGTTGGAAAGGCCTTGCTCCAGCATGGCATTGGTGTACATCCAGGTTCATCCAGAACAGCAGAGACCTATCCTGGCAGGATAGGCAGGACTGGTATCAAGATAAGCTTTAGCTAGGAGCAATGAGCAGTATGCAGGCTAATGCATTTCTGCTCGCTGCCTATCAGTGCTCTGCTCTGGGTCCCTCAGTGTAATGCTGCCACAAAATGTAATGTTGCTCAGTAGCAATGTGCACAGCATACACAAAGGATACTTCACCTACCGCAGCACTTGCTTTCTGATAGGCATGATGAAAACACAAATTTTCTATCCTCATCTGCACCCTCTTAGGAGTTAACCTATCACCTTTTTCTTCCTTCAGTTCACAGGAAACAACCTCTTAGCAGACAGACCAAAATAGGACTGTCTCTGAAACACAAATTGTCCTATCAAAGATGCTCTTTGTAATGGAGGGCAAGATACTGCCTGCAGCGGCACTATGACAACCCCATCTGTATTCAGTCAATGGAATAGGATCCCCAACTCCAAAGAGGGCACCTTCTGCTTTGTACCTTCACGTGGATGCCATCAATCCTCTTTTTCCCCCAGTCTCAAATCTTCGCTTTGCATTTGTCTCAAGAAATCAAGAAATCAGCTGCCTTGTGAATCTTTGTTGCTTATTCCTTCCCTTTCCTTTTGACATGAAAGCACATTGTTGTCCTGATGTGAATGTATCTCACGTGTTTAGCACAGAGGTCAGTGAGTGGACATCTTTAGTTCTACTTGCTCCATTGAAGAATGTGGTGTTATCCACAGTTTCTGCCAAATAACATAATTTGCTGCCTGTCTGCTCCTGATTTTCATCGTCTTGCAATAAAAAGTTGCCTTTGACAGCTCTCTGTGCATCTCCACCTCCTTTGCCTCTCCACCTCCTGTGCTCCTTTGGCGAGTCCTCCCCGAGCTCAAGGCATCAGCAGTGAAATGGACTGATACAAAACTCCTCCAAATAATCCACACATTCCCATAATATTTAACATCTAAACATTTATAAACACCCAGCTTCCAATTTCACATATCGGTGAATAAGCAACAAAAAGCTCTGTATGTCCCTTACTCTACAGAGCACTCTTTCATGCCACCCTAACAGCATAATCAAGACACAAGAGCATTTTATGCACTAAGGGGAAAATGTACATTCAAAAGCAGTTCCCAGTAGCTGCATTTCTAAAATTAAATTTTATAACTTGTATTATGGTTCCAAATCTCAGTGGCTCGGCATTTCTTCCTGTTGCCAGGCCCTCTGGCACAGCATGAACTGTCTCAGATTCCACACTGTGCTATAAATTATCCCAAGAGGGGAAAAAAAATTAAAATATAAAAAGACATATTATGTAGCAGAGGTTTCACTGTTAAAGAGACCCATTAGGGCTTCCAAAAAGAAAAAAGGAGGTGGTGCAGGGGGGAGAAAGATGAAAAAGACTTCTATCTGACATTCTGGTGGGCCAAGAGCAAGTGCTTTGATTGTCAGCAGCACAGAGCTGGATGCTGCTCTTGACACAGGACTTGAACGTGAACACATGGAGTCATACAAGATGTGTGAAATACCTCATGCATTTGGATTAGTTTAAGCTTCAGCAGTCTGACCTGAGGTCTTACAGAGCCAAGATTTAGATCCTTCCAAATTCATACCCCCAGTGTAATTTACTCCTCATTTTGAATTCAATTCAGCCATTTTCTGCTGTTAAGTCAGCAGCTTGACCTCCTCGTATCCTGCTTTCTTCTCTCCTGGCCAGGTTGCTGAGGCTCTCTCCACGGCCCCAAGCTATTCCAAAGCCCGGCAGCCTCATGCACAGGCAAGCAGGTCCTACAGGCTACGTTCAGGCCAACCAGGCAGACTCTCTGATGCACTGCATTTGTGTCTGAATTAAATTAACCAAAGGTGCAGCATTCTCCTGGGGTTACCACAGGGCACCCCACTTCTGAACATACCTCTGCAAGTCTCTTCATTGCCCATTCACCAACTAAAGCCCCAGATTTTAACTATCTGGGGTACTGAAAGAGGTGCCTCAGCTTACAGCTTCCTGACATGTATGAAAACCCCACTCGTGTCATTGGAGCTAGTCAAAGAACCAGCACCTGTAGGCTCCTCCTTGGGGCTGCCCACCTATTTATTTTGGTCTATACGTGTCAGCTTTGTGGTGGGAACTACCTACAGATAACATCAGGGAATTGTCATTTCAGAGGTACCTCCAAAAGTGACTTTTATTTTTTCCCAGTCAGAAATGCTATCCAACCTTTTCTCCTCTGCCAGTTGCTACAGGTAGCAGCACAGAACCTGTTTTTGTGGTAGGAAAGTGAAGAAATGTGTCAGAAAAATGTAACAAATATAAATAGTTTTCCCAAGCCACTATAAATGCACAGGCAGTGCCTTGCTAGGGTGACTTGTGTTTCGGTGTTTATTAGCTTTACTTTGAAGTTATCCTCTAAATAACTTGCTTAAAGAGCAGTCAAGTTGTCCTTAGCTCACCTTTGTAAAGCACAGGTCTATTATTATCTCCATTTTACAAGTGGAAAACTGAATCATGGGGAAACAAGGTGGCTTGCCCATGGTCAGACAGCAAACCTGCGGTGTATGCCTGCCTCTCTCAGCTCAGTAGTGTACCCAGACCACTAGTCTGCACAGAGCCATCGAATCATAGAACCATTAAGATTGAAAAAGAGCTCTAAAATCACCGAGTCCAACCGTCAGCCCACCCCCACCATGCCCACTGCCCACGTCCCTCAGTGCCACATCCACACGGCTCCTGAACACCTTCAGGATGGTGACTGCACCACCTCCCTGGGCAGCCTGTGCCACTGCCTCACTGCTCTTGCTGAGATGAAATTTTTAATACTCAACCTAAACCTCCCCTGGTGCAACCTGAGGCCATTCCTTCTCATCCTGTCACTGTTACCTGGGAGAAGAAGACAACTCCCAGCTCACCACAACCTCCTTTCAGGTGGTTGTAGAGATTGATGAAGTCTCCCCTGAGCCTCCTCTTCTTCAAACTGAACAACACCACTTCCCTCAGCTGCTGTGCACCCCAGTGACAGCACTCCCAACACCAGGCAAGGTGAAGGGGAGAGCTGGTGACATTTTTGCCTCTCTCTCCCTCAGGGAAGCAGAGTTGGAGCCTTTGCTTACAATAAACACGATATCCAGCCTTTTTGGCTAAATTAAAGCATTGGGTGCTTCTTGACTTTTTTCTTCCTCCTTATCCCTTTCAAATACTGCTTCAGCGAGGTCAGAAGATTTTCTTTTTTAAACAGGATATTAACAAGGAGTGTAGAGAAAACATTAGTTTTTCTGATACTTCTACAGCAACACAACATTAAAGTGTTTTCCCTCTTTACATGAAGGAAACTCCGTTTTATAGACTTCAAGAGGCAGCGGAGTGCTCAGCTTGGACAGCAGCCACCAGCTCGGAGTGCTGGATGTGGAAGTAACCAGAATGATGTGTCTCAGCAGCCCTCATCTGACACACATCCAGGGGAGATGTCAGGCCCTCCATGCTCCTGCTCTGCACACTGCAGCTACCAAAATCCCAGTGGGTGCCCAGCAGGAGACAGCCACAATGAAATTGAGTAGAGCCCTTTGTCCCCAGAGGGAGCAGAACACATCTCTTCTCTCTGCATCTCTTTTCCTAGGGTGGAACAGGGGGCTTTTCACTCCCTGTGCAACCCAATAAGTGGAAATACACGTGAAAACAATGTCTGTTCAGGCTTTGCTGAAGCAGGGAGATCCGATCAGACTCGATGCTTTGGTTTAATGACATCTCACCACTTTGGAACTGCATTGGAAGTTGATCCAAGCATCTTCACTTTACAGGGCTCCAGCACTAGCTGGATAGAAAATAAGCCATGTTTCATTGTGCCCAGCTAATAAAATGGGAAACATATTTTACCATGGAGTTAAAATATATCCAAATTATTCTGTATGCAGTGAAGAATGAGAAGAAACTACATTCTTTCGCATTATTCTAGGGTGAGAGCACATGCTTTTTAGTGCGAAAAATATATAGTCTTGTAAACAAAAATGAGTTATAGTATTTCTACACTATCACGAAGCTGGGTAATTCAAAAGCCTGAAAATCAGCTCTTCTGCTTGCAAAATAAATGATTTTTTTGTTGTTGTTAAAAATGGAAATAATGTCTAAGCGAATAATATTTTCGTATGTGTAAAGGGTCCTATAAAATAATTTACATTTTTTTCCTCTAAA